TACTTCTTTATTTACTGTTCTATGTTTTAAGAAAAATAAGTTTAAGAACTTATATCAAAATAGCAATAATCTATATACAAATATAATGTATAATAATTGAAATATGACCTTATTTTCCAAATTCTAACTGATTAAAACACAGCCAAGAAAGTTACTTTGTACAGACCAAATGTCATCTTTATGTTATTTGATATGGTAACATGAGTGCACATGAGCCACGTCTTTGTAACTTCTGTATTGTTAGCCAGGCATGGGTCAAAGTTCAGTATCATAAAAATAAATGTATATGTTATGAGATTTAAGCTATTTAGTCTAAACATTTATGTTTTTGTGTTATAATTTGTGTTCATTCTAGAATGAACAAGGCATAATTTATGTTTATTTTCTAATTTTTATGATGGTTGCGAGATCGGTCATATCTACCAAATCTATACAGGGATTAATTACTGAAAATAAGAGATTAAATATAAAGTTTTTTAAAGAAATGTTTGATAACTATCTGGACATTATAAAGATTTTGCATGTGAAATTTCAAAATTTTCTGATGCATAAAAGAATTATTATTCTTAAAATGAAAATTACTTTGCATGATAGATAGTCAAGATGTGAAGAGAGAAAAAAAAAAGGAATGAGAGAAACATTGCTTTACAAACCTTAAGGCTTAATAAAAAATGAGATATTTTGTGTATTGTAATTTTTACTAATAAATTGCTAATTTCATTAACATTCGCATACTAATTTAAAAGTTATAGCATGAAAAACTATAACAAGCACAAAATGGTTATGAGTTCGGATTTAAGGGACCGAGCCCGGGTTAAAAAGAGTTAATCCAGTGCATTAAGCTATTGTTATTCATGTTAGATGTAATGATCACTAAAAAGTGCTAAACAAATCTTCTTTCTTAATGATATTAGAAATGATAATCATTGCTGTTAATTGTTAATAAAACTGTTGTATGAAATCTACCTGATGCTTCTAATAATGTTTAAAAAGTTCATGTGTAATCTGATTTGACCTCTTCTGATATATATAATTTATGATAGAACTTGTAAATACACTGGCAATTGTAAATGTTCTTATCTGCAAATTCCAAGTTATCATGTTTAATGCTAATATACCTAAGCTAGTTTTATGAATTTATGTGTTTTCATTTGAGATTTATTAGCCCATTTGTAATGTCATATTTATAACTATTTTCTTTCCTTGTATTGGAGTAGAGTATATTTATCAGTTCCAAGATAATACCACACCTCTTTACACAGTTAAGCTATCTTCCCAACACATCTTCTTTAGAGATTTGCATGCCATTAGCTTTGAGGCAATTCCCAATTAATCTAACATGATCTAATGTGAATTGTGCTACTGGATGATGATGATATCATACAGCAAAGCCATCCACCAACAGGAGGGCAACACACCATATGCATCAGCTCCTCCCTATGCATTTGCACTTGAGAACGTCATTCTTCTCCTCGGCACTGTAATCACCAGGCATATTCAACATTTTTTAGCCTTTGTTCAATTTCATGAGAGTTTCATCTTTAATTAAACTTTTATTTTCATTTTCTTTACCTTTTAGTGTTTTCTTCTCAATTTAGTCTTTTCCATTTTTGCTATATCCCTCCATAATTTGTTCCCTTACTGTTGGGACTCATTGCATTGGGTTATTTTCCTCTTTCCTATACCCTTTCCTTCTCCTTGTGTTCCTCTTTTTTGTCCAGCTTCCTTTTTTTGCCCTGATGTCTTCTGTAGTGTTCCTTTCCTCTTGTGACTTGGACTGCTGTCATAAGAATTGTCCTTGATATTTTCCCAGGTTTTGTTTTCCTCTTTCCTGACCTTGCCCTTTGCTTTTATACCTCATCTAGATTGTTCTCCTTCTCAACTTCCCATTCTGGATTTCAGTCCTTCCTATTTTTCTTGTCTTTCCTGTACTGGTGGTCAAGTTCATTATACTTCTTATCAGTGATGATCACACATGTTTTTTGAGTACCTATCTATTCTCCTGCTGTTGGCCTCATTTTCTGCCAACAATCGTTTTTCTTTTCCCCACCTTGATCTATTATTTCCTCTCTCTTTTTCACTTCTCATTTCCTTTTCACCTCTCTCCATCTATGGTCTTTTTTCATCTGATCTTGAGTTGGCCAGGGTTGATGTGTTGGACACCTTCCTACATTTGTCTTTCTCAGCTTGTCCTATTTTTGTTTTCTGTACTTCCACTTCCTTTTTTGTTTCTGCTATTCCTTGCTCTTCCGTTCGACTCAGTGTTGGCCCCTCTTATGTTCCTTGGCATTGTTGGGCTTATGCTTACCATGTTCACAGTCCTATTCTGGGGTTTCTTTTCTACGATTGTTTCTATCAGTTAGCCCATTCTCAGATGTTTCCTCTTCTTCTACCTCTCTTCCTTCTTTTCTATGATTACTTGTGTAGATGGAGGGGGGCTTATCCTGGAATCTACATCTTTTTCTCACATCCATTTAATGTTTAGTTTCTTTTCTCAACTGAATACAGCCTGTTTTTTTTTCACCTGTGAACTATGGCATATCTGGCCATCAGGATTTACACTTCTTATTCTACATGGGGGATATTTTGCTTTTGGAGACTCTGGCTTCCTTACAACTCCCCATTCCTTTGCCAGCCTTTGCACCTGGTTAGGGTGCTTGACTTGCAATCTACTGGTCATGAGTTTGAATCCTCGTCATTAAACATGCTCACGCCCTTTCAGCCATTGGGGCATTGTAATGTGACACTTAATCCCACTATTTGTTGATAAAAGACTAGCCCAAGTGTTGTCAATATTGACAAGCTGCCTTCCCTCTAGTCTACCTTTGCTAAATTATGGATGGCTAGTACAGATAGCTCTCAAATAGCTTTGTGCAAAATTTGAAACAAACAAATGTACTTAGAGAAAGCACTAATGTGTCTCCAAGTATGGACCTTACAGACCCATGGTTTTCATTCTCGGGGTCCATTTTTCCCTTTGTGATTGAACCATGCTCAGACTACCTCCTGAACTTGCATACTGCCTTTCACACAGGATTTCTCTGTTCTTCGATGCTTTCCTCTCTGTTGAAGGCAGGGCATCTGATGTTTCAATGCTTGTCATATTCCCTTCACATCAACGGTCTCAACCCTCTCTTTGTTATTTGGGAATGTTCCCATTTTTGCCTCTGCTAGTGGTTCACTTGGTCATGTTACACTCAGTCTCTTACAGAGTCTGTTACATACATTAGTGAAAAGACAAAAAGCTAGATTTGGTACTGTTTTCTAGCATACATATTTATAATGTGCTATAGTTTAAAACATCAAGAACCAAGTGGAAAAAATGGTCATAGTATTAGTATAAGAGGTGTGTATGTATTTTAAGTTCTAATGTTGTAAAATTTTATATATATCACGCATATCCTATAACATTTAAGATATTCCAAGAACTGGATATAGTAGAAATGTATTTTATTTATTGCTAATTTCTTATTCTATTTAGATGGATTTGCCTTCTCCCAAGAAGAACATGGTGTTGTACCTCAGGTAAAATTGTTTTATTGCTCTAAGATATGTCAATTACATTATCAAATTAGCTGATTAGAAGGTGTATGATATCAATCAAACAATGCTAAATTAAGTACAGAAATTGACATAAGTATTGAGAAGTAGATATAGCTTATTAAAACAATTGATAGTATGTATACAAGATGATTGGATGCTATCATTTTATCACTTCTAGAGAAGTTGATGTTAGAGATTTATTGAAACTGAAGTATAGAGTAGTATTATATGTTCATATCTGATCTTTATTAAATATGGTTTCTTTCATTCTTGACCTTCATAACACAGCAACTGACAAAACAACGTGATGAATATCCTACTCAATGATCAGTGCAATCATCGTAAAAGCCATGTAATACATAACACAATGTTTAGGGACAACAGGGGACCTATTGGTCCATGTCAGCTGTCCCATCCTCTAAACTAAACTAAACTATCAAATAAATAAATGAAAAAATAAATAAAATAGAAATCTTAAAGCCAATCCTAATCATTCATATAGTTATCAAGCTTTCTCTGAAACTCACATAAATTTACTGCTTCCACAACATTCGAAGGTAATTCATTCCGGAGACTAACCATCTTGGAAGAAAACTAAAACTGTCTTAGCTGAGGATGGCTCCTACCATGTCAAAATGTATACTTGTGTCCCTTAGTCTTACCATTCTCACCATTAAATACAAAAGAGATTATGCAACAACACTATCAATTCCCTTTATAATCTTAAACACCTCAATCAGATCCCCTCAAACTCTTCTTTTTTCAAGAGAAAACGATTTCAAAGATTTTAACCTCTTCTCATATGACAACCCCTCCATCCTAGGCACCATTGTAGTAGTAGCCCTGCTCTAAACCCTTTCAAACAATACAGTGTCTTTCTTAAGATAAGGAGTACAAGACCAAACATGATACTCCAAATGTGGCATATCCAGTGAACTATACAATTTAAATTATGATAACTCACGTGCATTATCTTGCATTTATTATAGTTAAAACCCATCTGCCATTTATTTGCCCAACTCAATAAATGATCTAAATCCTTTTGTAAAGCAGCAGCATTCTCTTCACAGTTAGCAACATCCAAGACCTTCATATCATCAGCAAATTTAAGTAATTTATTGACCATTCTTTCATCTGTGTCATTGATGTAAATTAAAAAAAGCAAAAGTCCTAAGACTGAGCCCTGAGGTACCCCACTTGTGATTTTAATCCACTTTGAACTCCATGTATAACAACCCTCTGCTTTCTTCCATCCAGCCACTCTTCTATACAATTAGCTAACTTATCCCCCACACCTATAGAAATAATTTTTTACTAGTTTTTTATGTGGCATTTTGTCAAAGGCTTTCTAAAAATCCAGATACATCAAATCTACACCCTTACCCTCATTTACATATGCAATAACCTTTTCAAAAAATGTCAAAATATTTGTAAAGCAAGATTTTCCCTTAGTGAAACCATGTTGACTATTTAATAAAATTCTAAACTTTGTTAAATGATTTTGTAAAGCATTTTTTATCAGATTTTCCAAAACTTTTCCCACAACTGATGTAAGACTAATAGCCATATAATTACTGGGACAATTTTTATCACCTCCCTTGAAAAGAAGAGTGACATTAGCTAACTTCCAATCCTTTGGCACCTGCCCACTATTCAAAGACTTGCAAAAAATAGTAGCAAATGGCTCATATATACAATATTTAACCTCCTTCAAAACCTTGGGGAAATATTATCTGGCCCAGAAGCTGTATCATTTTTTAAACTTTCAAAGTTTTTCCGTTTTAAAAATTTAAAAAGGGGTGAATAGGATCTTCAACAAATTACAGAAACAAGATTGGTAGCTTAAAGTGAAAATGCAATTGGATAAAAAGTAAACAAACAAGTTTAAGGTTTCAGACATAGTGTGGACATTATTTCCTCAAGCTACAAGTCCATATTTTGACTCCATTTCTAAAAGCTGTAATATTTAGGAGAGTCAAAATAGGGATTTGTAGCTTGAGGAAATAATGTCAACACTATGTCTTA